TTTTTTTTTTGCTTATGGGTGCTGAAGAATCAAACCCAGGGCCTGAAGCATGCAAGGCAAATGCTTTACCACTGAGCCACCTTCCCAGCCCCGGGTCTGTTACTTTCATTCATAGGTGGGAAGGAAGAAGGGAGAGTCTAGCATTTTCAGTAACTTGTAGAAAGGAAGAAAGAAACATCTAGCACTTACTTGGCAGCCTGTTCATTAAGTATTTTTAAGTAATGTTCCACTGGATTCAGGAGTTCAGGAATTTCTAACATAAGTGTCTGGAGCAAGTCTGACTGCACATGGGAATTGACAGAAGGTATTAATGCTTGAAATTCTGACTTCAGTTGATACAGGCTTCTGACAATCAAGAAGAACTCTTGTGTAGAACACTGCAAGTAGAAATATTTTCTTTACATAAACAACACAAGGTACATAAAAATAAAGTTTAATTGTATTAATGAAAATACCATAATGGAAAAAAAGAAAATACCATAATGAAACTCTAAAAATTATTAAAAGGTCTGGGAGCTAGTGGCTCACTCCTGCAATTCTAACTATTCAGAGGGCTTAGATCTGAGGATGGCAGTCGGAAGCCAGCCAAGGGAAGGAAAGGCTGTGAGTCTCTTACCACCAATTAAGCATCAGAAAAGCTAGATGTGTGGAGCTGTGGCTTTAGATGGTAAAGCACTAGTGTTGATCAAGAAAGCTCAGGAACAGTGCCCAGGCACTGAGTTCAAGCCCCAGGACTGGCACAAAAAAACTACTAAAAGGGTATCATTTTATTTACTATTGTCTCCTTCTGAGAAAGAATAATACAGAATGAATATGACCTAAGGACATCATAGGTGTGTCTGGAAATACTCCCAATGACATCACTTTGTACAATCAATATATACCAATAAAAGAACACAAAAAGATTATAATTCAATAAACAAAATGTTTGGACCATATTAGTTGAAATAAAGTATATAATATTTTAAAGCTATAAGAAAATAATCTGACCCTCCCCCATGGTCTAACCCCTGCTTTCACTGTATTTGGTGTTGGTATAATTTGTGGAGGGGAAGGGAAAAAACAAATCATTTAAATAGGGATACAGGTGGACCCATTGCAACAATGAAATGTACAAGCCGTTAGGTCGAAAACGAACTTTACAACTCTGTTGGGGGGGGAGGGGTGAGATGGGAAGGGGAAACAAAGGAGGAGGCAACAATGCTTGATAAGAAATGTACTCCTCTGTACGGTATTTTCACAATAAAAAAAAAAGAAAAGAAAAGAATCTGAGCTGAGCAGAATAGCTCAATAGCTATGTACATATGATCATATAAGATGATGTTAAGCAAAATGAACTCCAAGACATGGACACAAGAGGTCTGTCTTTGTTGTTTTAGTTCTCAATGTAATATGTGATTTATTTTGCTTTTGTGTTCCCCCATATGGTTTATTCCCTATTGTCACTGTGTTTGATTTTGGTACCCTGGGTATTAGGGAAGGGATGGGGAACAACAAAATGGTGAGACAAAGGACAAAGGGGGAACCTATGCTATACTCACAAGACATATGTTGGGAGTGATCTGTACAACTAAAAGGGGCAGGGATTGGAGGGAGGTAAAGAGGGAAAAAAATGAGGGAAGGGGTAGCGAGTTAGACAAGAAATGTAATCACTACCTCACTATGTAACTGTAACCCCTCTGTACATCATCTTGACAATATTTAAAAAAAAAGAATCTGAGCAAGAAATAATAAAGCCAATACTCGTTTGGGATTTTCTTTCTCATTTGAAAATATTTAAAATTTTGAAGGAGAATGATGAAAGGGATGACACTGATCAAGATGCACTGTACTCATTAACCGACTTGTTGAATTGAAACCCCTTTGTACAATTAGTTAAAATAAAAGTACACTGTTTACCATAAATTTTGCTATCTAATCCATGTCACAAATATAAAGACCAGTTCTGAAAAAAAATTTGAAGTTCACATGAGAGAAATAGAAAAATCCTCCTTAACAATAAACTCTTATAAATTAGCGTGAAAATGATGAATAACCCAAAAACTAATGACTAAACATATTAAACATACAGCTTTTGGAAGAGAGAGAATGTCAAACAGTAGCTATATACATATGGAAAGACAAGCACATTAAAACTACAAAATAGTTATTTGGGTTTTTTAATTTTTTTTAATTTTATTGTAGAGATGCTGTACAGAGGGGTTAGTTACATAAGTAAGGTAATGAGTAAATTTCTTGTCCAGCATTGTTACCTCCGCCTTTGTTTTTCTCCTACTTAATAAAATGTCAAAGATTCAAAAGCAGATGTGTGAGAAAAAGCCACTTTTATATACTCCTAGTAAATTGGCATATCTTCATAATTTAAAAAATGCACATAGCCTTTGACTAAATCCTACTCTAAAGAATTTATCTGAGCCAAATGTTGGTGGCTCAGGCCACCAGCTACTCAGGAGGGTTAGATCTGAGGATTTCAATTCAAAGCCAGCCCAAGCAGAAAAGTCTTGAAACTCTTATCTCCAATCACCACCAAAAAGCTGGAAGTAGAGCCATGGCTCAAGTGGTAGAGTGCTAACCTTGAGCAAAAAAGCTCAGGGACAGTACACAGGCCCTCAGTTCAAGCCCAGGACCAGCATACACACAAATGATCTGAAAACATACTTCAATAAGGATGAAAAATAAAAGAGCTTCTAAATAAAGTGAAGAAGAAAGAAGAAAGCAAAGTCACACAGAGTCAGCAAGCAGAACAGCTCTGTCTCTCAAGAATAACAGAGGCTAAAAGAAAATGGAGTAATACAAATTTCTCAAGAAAAATAATTTATAACCTAGAGTTTTATAGTCTGACAAATTACCAATCAAATGTGCGAATAGGAAAGAAAAAGACATTTCTAGATATCCAAGTTTCAAAACATTATTTCTAACACTCTCTCTCAGGAAGCTTCTTGGGGTTCACTCTGCCAAAATGAAGGATTACAGGAAGAAAACAACATGGGATACAGAAGGCAAGAGGTCAACTCAAATAATATAAAAGGAATCTAAGATGGTACTTATGTCGGGTATAGAAACCAACCAGGATCAGGCTGGATCAGGTCAAAAGGCTCTCTTCTAGCAGAAAGTACTTGTATACAAAACTGATAGAATTATTTTTTTTTGCAAATAAACATATTAACATGAATGGCCCAGTTAAATTAATGATAAGACATATATATAGAATATATTATATATGCTATATATAGTATTAATTCTAAGAGTATATCCAAAACAATAATTACTGACCATAAGAGAGGAAGTAAATTAAGAAAGGAAGTTAGGTCAATTAAGAAGTTAGGTCAACTAAAGAAAAGCTGAGTTCAAAGAGTACCTCAAAGTGCTTCTTCTCCAGAAAAGCTGGGAAAGGCACTGCATGCCAACACAGAAAGCTGCACTGGATAAGTGCCTGGAAGGTTCTTAGCCACTAGCCAATTAGTAAAGAACTGGATATAAACATTTTCAATATAATTTTTAAATGACAGGCTTCTGTGATTATTGTAATTTGAGAGACAAGAAAGGGATGTGTTTTTCCAGGCTTAGCCATGATGCAAAAATCACGTCAGCAACAGGAACAAGGTGAAAACCAGGAGTGTAATGAAGCTCTTAGTGTGCAAGCAGGGTTTTCTTTTGGGTGTTTTGTTTTTATTGTTGTTGTTTTGTTGTTGTTGTTGGTAATAGGGCTTGAACTAAGGGCCTGGGCACTGTCCCTGAGCCTCTTTGTACTCAAGGCTATCTATCACTCTACTACTTGAGCCACAGCATCACTTCTGGTTTTTGAGTGGTTAACTGGAGATAAGAGTCTCAAGGGGACTTTTCTGATCAGGCTGGCTTCAAACCACAATCCTCAGATCTCAACCTCCTGAGTAGCTAGGATTCCAGGCGTGAGCCGCCACCACCACCCAGCCAGGCAGGTTTTTAAGTGAAGGAACTATAACAAAAGCAGAATATAAAGTTGCAACACCCTCAGCACCTTTGCATTTAGATGGCTGCTCTGGATTCTCTGTGTTAATTCCAGTAACAAACTTTTCTATAAGAACACTTCAGATCAGATCTGTAAGTGTAGGGCAATGTTATCAGTGCACTGGAAGGACCACAGCCTAAGAGCTACACTGAAAATGAAGCTTTCAAGCTTAGTTCAGCCTGGCTAAGGAATAATCTCTACCCACAAGATTCTGAAAACACTCCCCTCTCAACACTGGCAAAGTGCTATTATCTAAGTATATTCACCAACCATACTTACTTCCTTACAAAGCAGTTTTTCAGATAAGTTAGTATGGATTCCTGGCACTACTTCCTAAGATTTGAATGTAAAGTTTTATTGTCACAGAAATGTTTATTTTATTTCAGGCTCCTATAACTGGTACTATTTTCTAGGATTTGGATGTGAAGTTTTATTGTCCTGGAAATACTTGTTTTATTCCAGGATCAGCCCAGTTTGGTTCTACTGTCATTCTTACCACAAAAACAACCTATGTGTGTAAATTCTGTGGCACTTGACCACAGCCACAAGACCTAGGATTTCTCCTTCCACAACCTTCTTTAACATTTTCTGACTTTCACATAATTGGCATATGCAGTAGAAGCTCATTTAGAGTAATATTAGTAATAAAAAACGGATGTGTGCTTGATGTCAACTAACTCATCTATTAAAAAGTGATCTCAAGCAGCCAGCCTTTCTTACATTGGTTTACTATCAAATCATTTTTACTCTTCACTTTTCAAACTAACCTTGAGGCAAATTCTAAACATTAAAACAGTACCTAGGAACAGTTTCTGAATGAGTCATAAGTTCCTTCAGTAAAATACATTTTGACATTTCAAAATAAAGCCATTCTTGCAGTTGTACTGGTCACTCTTAAAACAAATTAGGTTGTAATTTTTACTGGAATTTTTTTATAAATACATAAACCTTATAAAAGGCAAACATCAAAGTGAAGTTTAAAGAGAGGCAGCAAGATGTGACAGAAATCAAAGCAGCATAGATGCTGCTGCCATCTTGTTGCTATGGACACTTTCTTTGACTTTGCTCTTTTCCTTAATAACGAAAAGAAATTTTGTTCTGCTCCTATTTTCTCTGAAGAAAATCAACCATCTTTGACATCTGTCAATGAATAAATGCTTTCAACTAGTGAAGTCAAGGTGCTTGCAGATCTATTGATTAATGAAAGGTAATATGCACTGATGTCAGTTACTAGGCCAAGGATACAAAGTAACACATGGTTTGGCATTCCTCTGTAGTCCCAAAAGAGTTGATCATAACATTTCCTAATATCAGCAGGGCTTCTGCTTTTGCCAGCAAACAACACAGCAAACCAAGAAACACTGCAACAGACTCCACCAACCATACAACCTACTCAACTCATCTTTTTCTCTGGATTAGTATTCCCAAATCTGGTTTGTACTTAGTTTTCAAATTTAGCTGAAGCATATTTGAAACAGTTACGTAAGTCCTCTTGAGCACCACAAAAATTCTCAGAGGCAATATTTAACACTCTAGTAAAACTTGGTTGGAAAAAAGAGACCTTACAAAAGTGAACACTAATGAAAATTTGGTCACACTAAAATTGGAGCATATAAAAATTGTAGTACAATGAAATTATTAAATTGGCAAAATATTTCAATTTGGGCAAAAAAATAAAAGTTGCTCAAAGAGTCAAGAGCAGGGAGGGGGATACAGTGACATTAAAGACAACCATAGGAGCTGGGAAGGTGTCTCAGTGGTAGAGCGCTTGCCTTGCATGCATGAGGCCCTGGGTTAAATTCCTCAGCACCACATAAGCAGAAAAAAAAAATGTACTCATTAAGGGCTGGGAAGGTGGCTCATTGGTAGAGCACTTGCCTTGCATGCCTGAGGCCCTGGGTTCGATTCCTCAGCACCACATAAGCAAAAAGAAGAAGAACAGAGGTCTTTTTAAAGACAACCATATCGAATGTAGTAGCCTCCAAACAATACACTGAAAATGTAGTCAAGGTTTAAATACAAATTCTGTCACTAGCAAGTTACTAACCCTCTATTGGCAACGCTGCATTAGCCAATATGATAACCCTATTGTAACATTTTAAATACACAGCATTATGTATAACTTCCTAACAGTAAGAAAGTAATTTAAAAAAAAAAAACAGTATCTTCCCAGTGCTATACTTTTTGCAAGGAACAAAGGATATAATATATGTAAATAGCTTCTACAAAAGGTAAAACACTTCTGAACTGGATGCCAGTGGTTCATGCCTGTAATCCTAGCTAGTCAGGAAGCTGAGATATGAGGATCCTGGTTGCTTCAAAGCCAGTAGGGCAGGAAAAGTCTGTGATAATCTTATCTCCAATTAACCACTGAAAAACTAGAAGTAAAGGTGTGACTCCAATGGCAGAGTGCTAGCCTTGAGCAAAAAAACTCAGAGTAGCACCTAAGCTCTCTCAGTTCAAGCTCCAGAACCAGCATATTCCCACCAAAAAAAAAAAACTACCAGTTTTGAAGTTTATTTATTAACAATTATTACAAATATAGTTATTACAAAATAAGGATTTGGAGCATTTTTAGGATTTGAATTCTGGTCCTTTTATTTGCTAGGTAGGAATTCTATGTCTTGAGCCATATCTCCATTCCTTTTTGCTTTCATTATTTTTCATAAACATCTTGCTTTTTGCTAGGGACAGCCTGGACTACAGCACTCCTATTTACACTTGTTATGTAGCTAGGATGACAGGTCTGGTCATTCATGTCCAGCTTTTTACTGATTGAGATGTAGCCATATGAACTTTTGCCCAGGTTAGCTTTGAACTGTGGTTTTTCTTGTTGCCAGCCTCTCAAATAGCAAGTGTGAGCTTCCGTGCCTGGCTTAAATTCAGAAACATTTTGATGATAAAGTAAATTAGTGTACTCCATAGGAAAGGCAGTGCAATCACTTAATCTATAAAACTAAGTGATAAAAATCAAAATAATCTTCTTAAACACTTTTTTATACGAATTCATTGGTATACCAATACCCGCAGAAGTATAATATCAGCAGATTTTCCCTTTGTTTAATAAGAACTTATGCTCAAAAGACATCTCTCTTCTACAGTAGCACTTTTATAAGTAAATTTGTTGCTTTGATAATGTTTTACACTTTTCTTATTATAATAGACTGACTACTTATGTTGTTGTGGTATTAAGTGGGAAAATTTTACTTTTACAAAGCAAAAACTGGAACAACCTTAATTTGTACAATTAAAATTTCTGAGGAGTTAGCTAATTTCTCATGCTACTTGCAATCTTTTATAAAATAATAAAAACAATGAAATCTCACATGATTTTCCTTGAACATCTGGAGTCCCCATACTGAATTAGTATGAACTTTAATAGATTTTATTTTTATGAAACTTACTTTTTTATGATAAATGCTACAGAGTCCTCTTTCTAGGTCAGGCAATTTATGTAGATGATTTTCTATATGACCAAACACACTAGATTCAGAATGGACAACTTCAGACACTGCATCCAGTCGGGCGTTTATTTCCCTGTGAGAACAGAATAATGGTGATTAGATAAGCTAGAAAGTCAGAATGTACACTTGGATGTGTGTGTGTGTGTTAGAACGTCAGAATGTACACTTGGGTGTGTGTGTGTGTGTTAGAACGTCAGAATGTACACTTGGGTGTGTGTGTGTGTATTAGAAAATCAGAATGTACACTTGTGTGTGTGTGTGTGCGCGCGCGTGCGCGTGCGTGTGCGTGTGCGTGTGTGTGTGTGTGTGTGTGTGTGTGTGTATCCCTCAGGCTCAAACTTAGGACTTAAGGTGCTGTCCCTGAGCTTTTTTTCCCCTCAAGGCTAGTGCGCTACCACTTGAGCTACAGCTCCCCATCTGGCTATTGTTTTGTGTGGGTGATTAATTGAAAATAAGAGTCTCAAGGACTTTCCTGATCCGGCTGACTTCAAACCATGATCCTCAAATCTGAGCTTCCTGAGTAGCTAAAGTTACAGACATGAACCACCAACACCTGACTACATTTCTCATTTTAATGTCACAGCCACTTGCAAAGCACAAGAAAGATGTATGGTCCTTCCTTCCCTCTTACTACTAACTGGTTTGTGGCAGAAGACCAGTTCACAAAGAAAACACAAAATACACTTCCCAGGTTCCTCTGCATTTGGGTGTGGCCATGCATCTGAATTCTTTACAGCATAGGAATACTGTAAGCCACTTCTAAGCCCTGGCCCAAAGAAACCTTCTGTGGGAGATCACACAATAAGATCTTTGCCAGCTAGATATTAAGCTCAAAGCAGTTTTGTAAGCCACATGGTCGACTCTATCAGTCCGACTTCGTGAGTAAGGCAGAAAATCTCCCACTTTCACATTGTTACCAAATAAACTTACTAGTAGGAAATAAACCTGTCATATTTAAACCACTGTGATTGAAGATGTGTTTGCTAGCTGTATTGTCTTCACTAATGCAGATGCGTTTGCTATATAAGCTGTATTGTCTTTGCCACCAGGAGCAACAAGACAACTTGAACCAATCAAGTGTTGACTAATGGTGGTTAGGGAGGAGAGTCGCAGTACAAAATACAGATAATATGGCCTCAGGAGACACAGAGGATTAGGGATGCCAGACTTTATCAGCAGTGATACATAGCAAGTGATGGGCTACTTGGGAAGGGGTGGTGAAGCTAGTCAACTTAAAATGGAAACCTGATTGGCTAAGTGCATCGTAAGTAAGACGTGGCTCATTAAGTACCTGAAAACATCAAAGTTCTAGGAGTGACCGACAGGTAATATTAATAACTGAGATAATAAATATGTCTAGTAATAAAAAGCCCAGCACTCAGTAAGGTTTACTTTAAATAAGTAAGTGTATGAGCCAGGCACTGGTGTCTCATACCTGGAATCCTAGCTACTCAGGAAACTGAGCTCTAAGGATTAAAGTTTGAATCCAGCCCAGCAGACAAATCCAAGAAACTCTTATCTCCAATTAGATTGAAAACATTCAAGATCCTGAGTTCAAGCACAAGTAACAGCATCCCAAATAAATAATTATATGTAAAATGAGTGGATGAAAGAATAAACTGACGTTTTGGTGAAAAAGAAGACATAAGGTAAATAAACAAGTTTGTCTTTCTAAGTTCTGCTGGTATTTCATATGCTAACATGAAGGGTAAACTTTATATTAATTAGTAGCATGCCTAGATGACAGACCATCTGCTTTATAATTAGGGGAATATTTTCATCTTTAGTGACTGTATAAGTACCTTGTGAGATCATGCTTTGCCACAACTCAGAGCCACTATACCACCTTCAGGTCTCATTCTTGTTTCATTTTTCTCTGACTCATTGTATCAAACACAATCAAGCTTTTAAGACATCTAGATTGGCTTTTCCATTCTTAGCAAGATAGTCCCAAAAATCCAACTACTTTTTTCATTTCTAATGTCACTTTCCTGGTCTATGCCAAAATCATTTCTCTCCCAATGACAAGTGAAACAGCCTCCTAACTTTTGTCCCACCTCTACTCTGTCACCATCTGTAACCCATTCTCCATACTGTAGCCTGAATGATATTCCTAAAACTCAGAGCCATTCTGGCACACATCTGCCTTAGGCTCCTTGATGACTTGCCACCAAACTTAAGTTCTTTAATCCAGAATCCTTAATTGGCCTACAAGGTCTTTGCTTACCCTGAAGTCTCAACTTCAGATCACCTATCACTCGCTTCCACTTTAAGATCCAGTCAGATTTTGAATCACTTCTAATACCTTGACCACTCCAAGTTCACTTGCTGCTCTGACAGAAAGACACTTCCTCCTCCTAACTGTCCACTAACCACCACTCTACCAACTCTCCCACTACAAGAGTTTTCTAGATGCCCAGACCACATTTAATCCTGTTACTGCCCTTTTCCACTATCATGCACTTTCTCTTTTCTTCAATTCCATTTGCTACTACACTGTCTTCCCTACTAGACTTTCAAGTCAGTAAGGTCAGGGATCATGTCTTCATTCATACAGTTTCAAAACTGCATGCATGCAATAAACAGTTGCTGGATTCCACTCCAAAGACTGTATAAAGTAAATCAAGATGAAGCCAAAAATAAATAAATCTTCTTGGCATAGGATTGTTATGACAAAATAAATCAATGTTTTACTCCAACATTTACCCAAAATGCCATACAAATAGAAAGTTTTACTTTAATAACTCACTCCTGCATAAATGAAAGATGACACCAATTGGAATAGATGGGGTTGGTGCCACAGATGGTTTGAAGATAGATAAAATGATGCCATCTGTGAATGCAGAAGACAGCCTACACAGACAGCTACTGTCTCAAGAATTAGAGGCTTTCCAAAATATGGAAAGATAAGAGCAAAGAATTTATTAAAAATCTAAACCATGATTATGAACTTTCCCAGAAACAAAGTTGAACAGACATAAATTCTACAGAACTCTTAGAGAGTGTAAAGACTGTGCTATGTTGATTTGGAACCTTAAAAAAATCTACAAAGGAAGCAGCTTTTATTCCAGCCTGGGATCAGCACAGGCAAGAGCATCATGTTCACTAGCAATCATTCTGGTTTTAAATCAAGTCTTCTCTAGCTCACAGGTTAAGAATTTGGGCTCCGAAGGCAGGCAGCCTCAGTTCAAATCCAGGCTCTGTCATTCACCAATTACTTAGCCATGCCCTAGTTTCTCTATCGGTAAAACAAGAACACCAATGGGCCCTAACTCTTGGTGTTACTGTGAGAATTCAATAATACACGTCAAGCGCTTGGCAAACAGTGCCTGCTGCTTAGTAACCATTCATTAAATGTTAACTGATCTCATAATCATTGGTACAAATTTGTTTGTAGATATCACAAAGAACAGCACGGTAAGGGATCAGCAATGGTAAGGAATCAACTACACACAAAAATATTTCTAAATAACGACACAATGACAAACCCTAAATCATAAATACACAGTCGTATTTTGTGCAGAGTAAACAAGGAGGAATTTACTAGCCCTGCACTCTCAAGCACTCCATCTGGCAAGAAATGATCAGAAGTACTATATAAACCACTATGTTGAGAGTGGTTAATAGGCTGCATTGAAAAAGCAGGTTATTACCAATTATAGATGTCTAAACAGGCAAGGAGAAAGTAAAAGGGGATGTGGTTGTTTTTTTTACCACAAATTTCCCATCACTGGGTATTGCATTTCCATTTTTATCCTCTATAGGTAGATTAAAAAATGCAAATGAATAAAATGACTTATAAAATGTTCTTAAGTTTAGATACCTTAGAATCATTTTCTAATTAAAAGTAGTTAGGAGACTTTCCAAGAAACTCTAATAAAGCAATACTTAGACCACCAGAATAAGGAATCGTTCTATAAATGCAAGCAGTGAGAGATTTGGTGATGTGACAGGTAGCAAAGCAAGAAACAGTATTGCCAAAAAGACAATGGTAACAGTATTATTCCAAGATTCCCTATAGTAGTAACAGTTGTTCTTACAATGCTATAATAAACCAGTGAAAAGAATTTCATCCCGGATACCGAGAAACAAAGGACTTAAGGTCCTAGGGATGACAGAGATTCTTCTTTACCACCTAAGATCCAAGGACAATATGTGGGTGTCAGCAGAGTCCTTCACATTTGGAGATGAACTGGATGATGACGTTAGCAACTATTGTGTGTGGCTATTACTCAAAAACAGCGTGACTGGTAACTATTACCATGAAGATGGACAGGGACAAAATTGGAAAGCCAAGAAGGGAAAACATACATGGTCTCCTTGTTGTCCTCATGCTCCCTGTGTTCCCCTCCTCAGCTACAGGAAAAGCTACCATTTACTGCTGGTCCTTCAAGCTGATCTAGATTTCACTGAGGGCCCAGATACCACAGAACAAAGCAGAGGCCAACTCTTAAGTTCCTGCCTAGCTCACCAAGAGATGCTGGTGAATCCAGGCTGACCATGCTGACACATGGGTAAGGGAGAACCCCTGGGGTCCACTTTTCTCTGGCAGTGGCTGCCAGGAGTAGCTCTGGCATGGAGCCAGAGTAATCAGTCATGGCTGTCAGGTACGCGCCACCCTCCCACCCCATTCTCCATTTATGAGCAGTCACGTGTGTGCCGGGCTGAGTAAACCACTCCACCTGGGTGTCCGCAGGCTCGCAGAACATGGGTAACCACAAATGACTAACAGGGCCTCCCAGTCAAGTCATTCCAGAGGTAAGCCTGGCATTTTGTTCTGTGAGTATAAATTAAATCTTAAGTAGAAGGAAATATGTAACATTCTATTGCCTGGTCATTTAAAAAGATAACCATTATACTTCAAACATATGGGTTTACCAAAATAAGAGCTAGTTAATTATTCAAGAGAATTAACTGCCACCTCAAGGTACTTGGCACTTCAGAAAATCACACCAAGATGTGCGAGCTAATGCCTCGCACAAACAGGTCTCTAGTCCCTTAATTTTACTTATTTATTTATGTGATTTAAGTGCCAAGCACAAAACTTAATATCCTCAATTCTCTTGAGCAATT